TGGCCTGTCCTTGGGGAGGAAGGCTTTCTCCAGGGCTCTTCCCCATCCTCTCAGCCAAGTGGCAAATCCTACCACCCCAAACTCCTCTATTCTCTTTCAGGGTCTTCACTTTATCCACAGAACCCTTTATGTATGAAAACACCAGGCATTTGACTAGTTTCTTGCTTACCTTCACTGGCCATGAAAATGCAAGCTCCTAAGGGTGAAGGCCCCTTGCTGTCCTGTGTACTTCTACATCTGAGTGTCTGGAAGAGTACATGGTACATTGTCACCCTGAGGACATATTTACTGGATGAATTAATGAAATAAGCTTTATGATTATAAACTTATTGGAGCTTTGAGGAAATTAATTATGCATCTGTTTACATCGTATTAGACAATGCCTAGAGCTCACCAGGCATTCGTGAACCCATTTGTGTTTATTGTCTAATACCTAGTTAGGTTCATAACTTGTCTATAGTTAGGGTAACTATGTCCTCATTTACTCAAGCCTAAGAATTTCTATATTCTTAGAATAATTATAAATATTAACTTCTTATACATTGTGTAGTCACTGTACCTGAAGACAAATTGTGCCAATGAATCAGGCAAGGTGAAGGGCTGTGCCTCATGCTACATAATAGGTAATTTAACAAAAAATATCATTTCTGTGTTTAATAGTAAGATAGAAAGATGCCCTAGTTGGCTTTCTGTTGTTGTGATAAAACACCCTGGACAAAAGCAGCTTGGGACAAGAAGGTTTAATCTGACTTATTAGTCCTGATCAAGGACCATTATTGTGGGAAAGCCATGGCAAGAACTCAAAGCAAACCTGGATGCAGAAACTGAAGCAGAGACCATGGAGAAATACCGCTTACTTGCCTACTCTCCATGGATTGTGCAGCCTGCTATTTTATTTGTAATTATTGTACATCCCAGCCTCAGTTTCCCATCCCTCCTCTCCCAGTTCCTCCCAACCCTCTCTATACACCACCCAATCCACTCTTCCTCCATTTCTGTTTAGAAAAAGGCAGGTCTCCCATGAGTAGCAACAAAACATGGCATATCAAGTTGCAGTAAGACTAAACGCCTTCCCAAGTATTAAGACTGGGCAAGGAATAGGGTCCCAAAGCTAGGAAAAGAGTCGTAGACAGCCCTTGTTCCCACTGTTAGGAGTCCCACAACAGGACCAAGCTTCACAGCTGCAATATATACGTAGAGTGCTTGGGCCAGTCCAATGCAGGCTGCCTGGTTGTCAGTTCAGACTCTGTGAGCCCCTTTGAACACAGGTTAGTTGATTCTGTGCATTTTCTTGTAATGTCCTTGATCCCTCTGGCTCCTAGAATCCTTCCCCACCCCCCCACCCCCGCCCTTGCAGGATTCTCTGAGTTATGCCTAATGTTTGGCTGTGGATCTAGATCTGTCCCCATAAGTTACCGGATGAAGTCTCTCTGATGACAATTGGAGTAGGCACCAATCTATGTGATAGCAGAATACCATTAGGCATTACTATATCAGCATTTTTCCCTCCTAGGTCTCTGAATCATCCAGCCTATGGGTTCTGGTGCTCCAGGCAGGGTCAGGGGTGAGCTTAATCCACTGGCATGGGTTTTAGGCTAGACCAGTTATTGGTTGACCACTGCCTTTGTCTCTAGGCCACCTCTACCCCTGCATATCCCATAGACAGGGCAGACTGTGGGCCAAATGTTATGTGACTGGGTTGGTTTCCCACTCCCTCCACTTGAAGTCTTAGCTGGGTCATCCTTGTAGACCCCTGGAATATTCCCTTGCTCCGGGTTTTTACCTGAACCTGAAATCTTACCCCCTTTCTAGTAGTCTCTTTCAGTAGTCCCCCCTACACTCCCCGCCAAACCTGATCACTCATGTTCCCACTCCCACCTATCCTCAATCTACCCATGAAATCTTTTCTATTTCCCCTACTTAGGGAGATCCAGATATCCCCCCCCCATGAACCCTCCTTGTTACGTAGTCTATCTGGGTCTGTAGATTATAGCATAATTATTCTTTATTTTGCAGCTAATATCCACTTATGAGTGACTGTATACCATGTTTGTCTTTCTGGGTCTGGATGACCTCACTCGGAGTGATTTTTTTTTTCTAGTTCCATCCATTTGCCTCCAATTTTCCTGTTGCCCTCGTTGTTTTTAACAGCTGAGCAATACTCCACTATGTCAATGTGCCACATTTCCTTTATCCAATCCTCTGTTAAGGGACATGTAGGTTGTTTCCAGGTTTTGTCAGCCTCCTTTTTTTATGATCCTGGACCACCTGCAGTGGCACTGCCCACAATGAACTGGGCCCTCCTACATCAGTCATTAATCAGGAAAGAGCCTCCTAGCTATGCCCACAGACCCATCTGTTTGTTAGAAGTGATTCCCTAGTTGACATGCCTTCTTTCTGGTTAACTCAAGTTTGCAGGAGGCTGTCAAAAACTAACTGGTATGAGAGGTAAAATCATAATAATAATAATGAATAGAATAAGAAAGCATTGTGGGGGGTTGGAAAAATCTTTGTGTTTCACCTGGGAAGAGCAGAAGTGAATGTCTAGTAGCCAGTAATGCTTTGCTCTCCAAATTCTAGTCAATACACTTAAGTTCGTGTTCCAGTTCTAATACTTCTGACCTGGAACACTTAACTTACTCAAGTCTGTTTTTTTCTGATTGAGAATGTGGGTGTCATGGGAAACTTCACATAGTATCTCTAAAACGCCAGTGCCTTAACATACAGGACATGCTGGAGCTGTGTTGGCTAGTGTTAGGACTTCATGGTACAAGGCTTTCAGAAGGGTAATGCCACAGGAAACTGTGTCTTTGTAATATAGCTAGTTATTTAAGTATTAAACAATCAGCATAAAGTGGATGAACCTGCCTTGCTCCCACGGTATTTAGTAATCTGTTTTTAATTCCATTCATTAGTCAATGTGTTTTGTTGATAAAGGGCATTAAATACAAGATCTGCAGTATAAACACCCTATTTGTTTTATTTTCAGTATAAGATCCAGAACATAATGGGTTATCAACAAATGTTTATAAAATCCTTGTAATTGATGGGGCATTGAGAGACAGCCAAGCAATGGATAATTTTTAAGACTGTTTGACACGTTTTGCCGTAATGTTTCAGTTTTTATGGTGAATAATTAGTTAATGAAATGAATCTTCTACTTATATAGCTTCAGCACTTGAAAACTGCCAAACAGTAGTAGCATTAATAATAAATTGTATAGTAGTTTTACTTCCATAATAGATTAGAACTTAAACTGTTGCTGGGATCTACACTCATACCTTGCTTAACACAATAGGGAAATCAGTCCCAGATACATTAGTTGCTATGAGCAATATTAATATCAAAGTCTCTTAATTCCAATGCCAGAATTATTTTGGCTTTCTCTTTTAATGCCTGTCTGTTTTTAATAACAGTGATGTCATTGATTGAGAAAATACCAATTATTTAGTTTTGTCTTCCATAAGAAGTAAAAGAAAGTGTAGACTATTTCCTAGGATTGCAGCTGTCTCTCTTCAAGTATTTGTTCACTCTTTTCACATATGAGTGACAAAACTTTTACCAAATTGTATTTTATGAAGAAAATAAGTATTACTGCTAGGCTTTTTGTTTCATATTGTAGTTTTCTAGTGGGAATTAAATTCTAGAAGCATTAAATATGTAATTTAATACAGTTTATTTGGTTAGTTTGGATAGCAGACACAATACTGCTTACATAAATCACACAATTTCCATTATTCCTTGGGTACTATATTGTTATTCAAGTTGTGCTCAAATCATTACAAAATTGATTTTCATTAAAAACTGCAACTAAAGTATTTGTCATTCCAGAATCCCTGAAACTATCATTCAGCTAATTCTGTGTTGTCATGTATCTTTAGTTTTTGGGGTTTTGTTGTTGTTGTTGTTGTTAATAACATTGCTTTAGTTCACTCATGTCTTGTAGTCTTGTCAGTTGGAAGGATTAGGACTGATCAGTGATAAGATTTCCAGGCTTTGGGGGAAATGATTGAGGACCATCCAGGACATTCTCTGTTTCATCAAATGGGATCTTCCCACTATAGAGATATTCTCACCCTTTCGCTTTTTCAAATATCCCGATTGTCCTGAAACTCTACATAAATATTAGGAATAGAGATCATAATACCTTTCTACATATTTTTACCCTACAGATGTTTTGGTCATTCATTGCCTTTTTATAAAATATTAAAGGAGAAATCAGAATATGTAACATGCTTGTGTTATAAGCAGGAGTACTTGGTTTGAGCTCCATTTCCCACCACCCACAATAATCCCAGTGCTGGGTAGTGCAGACGAAAGGCTCACTTCGGCTACCCAGCCAATCAATATAGCCTAATGAGCAAACTCCAGCCAATAAGAGATCTTCTCTCAGAGGAGATGGATGGTGTTTCTGAGAATAACATCTGAGGCCCTCCTCTGGCTTAAACACACGTGCACACAAGAAAATAAATAATAAGTAGTCAAAAACGTGTACGTATCAGAAAAATCTCTGTACACAATTCTCAGTGACCCTATATAAGTGCATATATGCTTTAAATCATTAATATTACACAAATTGAATACACATAATTGGGAAAATATGGAAGCTTAAATTTTATTTTATTTTAAACGCATTTCTTTACTTATATCTGACTTCCATAACCTCTTTAATTTATTTGAAGTTCACCCCCATCCCCTCCCTTTACATTCTTATCCTGCCCTACCTCACTATTATCTCCCAATTTCATGTGTTGTTGCTTTTTAACCCACTGACTCCACTTAGTGCTGCCAAGTGTGCACGTATGTGTGGCATCTACATACATGGGTCAGGAGTAGCTCAACACATAGAAAAGGGTATGACAAAGAGATAACGCTTGGATAAACACAATCGTGTTCCCCTTACCCGTGATTTTCATATTTTAATATAACTATATTTTCTCAATTGAAATTCAGACAGGGAAAACAGCAAAATAACTTGTACATGATTTCTTCTTCCCTAGTGCTCCATTTCCTGTGGCAAAGGCATGCAGTCTCGTGTAATCCAGTGCATGCACAAGATCACAGGAAGACATGGGAACGAATGTTTTTCTTCAGAGAAACCTGCAGCATACAGGCCGTGCCACCTTCAGCCCTGTAATGACAAGATAAATGTAAATACGATAACATCACCCAGACTGGGTAAGCAGATCACAGAGTGGAGGCTTTCAGAGACAGAAATGCTTTTAGGCCATGTATTTCCTTAAAGCTTGGGAATTAGTAAACTGTGCTAGTTAACTTGGCTCTAAGTGAGTCTATTTAAATATACTTTAGTCCACACAATCAGAGATGGGTTTATAAATGCTTCATAAAGACTCCTTTCCTTCCATGAAGTATTTACTTAGAACTAAGTCAAGGAAATACTGATGCCACACCACCTGAGGTCTCCTTTTTAAAATCAGAACAGAATTTAAGCTTCCATCTAGTATCACAGCTATCAACTATGCTGATATCTGTGGGAAGTGGAAGTTTGGAATAAATTTTAAATTCCTCCATGGCCAACACCCTCCTTTTCACCCTGGTTGCAAATTATCTTTAGGATAGACAGTATAAAAACAGTTTGCTGTAAAAATAAGCATCTAAGTCTATACAACCAAACATGAGGTACTTTTCTTATCTTTGATGATAGAAGTATAAATTGACATAGGAAGTGACAAGTTTCTTGGCATTGTCATTCATACTTAGTTCTGGTTGATCTACTTCCTCCTCCCTCATCTCCTGGCCACTAATACCCACTGTACCCTTCATCCCCACAGCCACTGGTACCCACTGTACCCTTCATCTCTATGGCCACCGGTACCCACTGTGCCATCCATCCCCACAGCTACCAGTACCCACTGTACCCTCCATCCCCATGGCTACTGGTACCCCTGTACCCTTCATCTCTATGGCCACCGGTACCCACTGTGCCATCCATCCCCACAGCTGCCAGTACCCTCTACCCTCTATCCCCATGGCTACTGGTACCCACTGCACTCTTTGTCCCCTAGATTGCCTTTCCCACTGTCATATCACATGTGCTATAGTGCTTCCCTATCTGCTCCCTTAAAGCCACTCTTGTTCCCATTTCATGGGTCACTTTCCTGGCCTCTACCCACACTTAACTAACATGAAATATATACATACACATATACACATCCATATATAACAATTAGAAACTAGGACACACATGAGCAATAACATACAGTATTGGTTACTGGCAATAGTTTGTTATTTGTATTTTTATATTATGAAGTATTTTTGTAGTTAGTCTCAGTTCTTGTTATATCATCTAATTTATCATCAAGGAGAGTGTGCCTTTTAAATGCAGGATGCCTATGTTCACACAGAAACTCTTAATAACTGAATTGCCCTTTATATCTGTGACAATTGGTACTTTAAACAGCATGCTACTTGGCAACCAGAGGATTAATTTTTCATGCATATAACTTCCAGGAAAACAATTCAAATCATGTGACTATGGGAATAATTGCCTAATAAAATGGGATAATTTATCTTATATACTTTTATATTGTCAACACAAAATTCAATGAAATTGAAAAGTCTTTTTTTCATCGAAACACAAGACTTTTTGAGCCAAATAATTATTGTTTCTTTGAAATAATTAGTGAAAATAGAATACCATTAATCAGGACAGAAGTTAAACAGTTCAAGAACAGATGCCTCAGATGCATGCTTTCAATAAAACATGACCTTTCTTCTAACAATCACTTGGAATCTGTGAAGTATAATTTAGGAGAAAATCAGGGAATATAGGGAGGGTTTTGTTAAAATTATATCTTTCTACTTTTAGTCTTGAAGGGTATATATGTTAGTCTTCTGTTGCTGGAGTAAAATACCCTAACCAAAAGCAAGTTAGGGGAAGAAGGGGTTTTTATATCTCAGTCCATGTTGGCCAACAGAAGGCACGGCAGCAGACTGTAAGTCCAGTCCATAAAGGGCACACAGGAGCAGAGAGAGAGAAAGTGAGACCGGACTAGAAAACCTCAAAGCCCATTCTCAATATCTTATTTCCATCACCAAGGCTCCACGTGTTGTAGAACCTCCACACAACACCATCAACTGGAGACCAATACGTCCAAAGTAAATGAGTTGATGGAGGACGCTTCTCATTCAAACCATAACAAAAGTAAACCTTCCAACACAACACACCAGGAAAGAATAATAATGGACTGAATTTGAGCGCAAAAGGAAAGAAGTAGTGCTGCACAATGAATGTCACAAAACATGCTAGGACACACTTTACCTTGACAACATGAAGCCAGATCTTCAGTGCAGAATTGTCTAGACCGCATGTTAGGTCCTAACGCTGGTGATCTCAGTCACTTGTGAAAACCAGCATCTATGCTCAAAAGGCCAAGATTAACTCTGCACATAGTCTGCTTTCCTTCTTGCTATATGGGAAAACATAGCATACAGTAAACATGGGCACATTTTCACTTTGCTTTTTTTTTTAAGTTTCATTTACAGAAATAGTTATTACTATGCAGTCCTGTATTGGTCAATGTAAGTCACATGGGATGGTACATACCTCTTTTCTCTGAACTTGGGAGGACCAGGAGACAAAATGCTCAACAGTTCATGCCCGTCTTGAGTTACATAGTGAATTCCAGAACAATATGAGTTACAGAGTGATATTGCTTCCAAAAAAGAAAAAAGAAAAGAAAAAACAATTACTTGTTTGCATATACATACAGAGAAGAGAGAATAACATAATTTTTTCCTTTTAATCCTAACTATTGAAATCCATGAATAAAAAACTTAAATGAAATCCATAAAATTGTGGTATTGAGCTAGTGAAACTTCAGAGTTTACATATCAAGATCCTGTTTAAATAATAGATACAAGGTCTGGAGAGAAGGATCCATGGTCAGAGGAGTTATTAGAGATCTTGCAGGGGCCCTTGGTTTGGTTCCCAGCATCCATATGGTGACTCACAACTATCTGTACCTGCAGTTCCAGGGGATCTGATGCCCTCTTCTGACCATGACAGGGACCAGCTCATGGTACACATCCATATTTGCAGACAAAGCACACATGTCACACACACAAACACACACACACACACAGTAAGTCTTTAAAACATAAACAATACATAGATCTGCAATAGATATGCTAGTTATTCTCAGTCATCAGCTTGTTGAGATCCAGAATCACACAGGAGATGAGGCTCTTGGCATCTATGCTGGAAATTGTTTTGACTACACTAATTGAGGCGGGAAGACTTGCCCACTGCGGGTGGCACCAATCCCTAGGATGGAATCTTGAACTACATGAAAAGGAAAAAGTGAGCTGAACACAAACATCTGCCCCTCTGCTTCTTGGCCCTTGGCCTTGGGTGAACATTGCTTGTACTATATTTTATCACAGCAACATGGAATTAGCAACTAACACAAATGATTGATAAACACAACCAAAACTTAGATGCTCTACTGCCTATTGATTGTGAGCAATCTGTTCTCAGTAAGCTCCAACTGTCCCCAGCTAAGGGTGTTACTAATTCATCCTACTGTCATATTACAGGATGTTTGGGTCTTTGTCATTTATGTTCTGTCAGGTTAAAAAGAAAAAAAAAGTAATAAAGAAAGACTAACTCCATGAAAATGAGTAAAAGTTATTCCTACTGACGGTACTTATAAGCCTTCCCAGAGTGAATTCACCATGTTCTGTTTCACAGCTGCCCTGACCTTCAAGTGCCTGGGAGACCAGTGGCCAGTGTACTGCAGAGTGATACGGGAGAAGAATCTGTGCGAGGACATGCGGTGGTACCAGCGCTGCTGTGAGACGTGCAGGGACTTCTATGCCCAAAAGCTACAGCAGAAGAGTTGACCTCTGGTGGGCTGGCTGACTGGCTCATAGCTTTTTGCTGTTACATTATTTATACACACACACTAGCATGTTCTCCAGACCAAATATTATCAGATTTCATATAATTTAATCAAATTAATTTATTTGCCTGCCAGACATCTAATGTGGTGTTTGTGTTGGTTATTCAAACATTTTTTACTATGAAGCTTCATAAATAATTTTATATGAATTGAGTAAGTTGGGTCTAGTAAACTAATAAAAAAGAAATGATATTTGTTTTTCATTTAGGGCTGTCTGTAAGGTGCTATTTTATCTCCACCAATACCATTAAGTTACCCAGTGTGTACACTACCTTGGCATGATAGCTTAGCTATATATGCAGAAAATGACCTATTTTCTTGTGTCCTGCTGCAGAACCTGCCCATTTTCTGTAATCTGCAGGAGATGTGTAAACAGAACAAACCTCACTGTCTTGAACAAGTTTAAGAGAATGTATTATGAATGTAATTCAGATTTAGAAACAAGTATAGGAGACCTTCTACTGTAACGATACTTGTATATTAATAGTAGAAAAGTAGTCAAGACAGAGACTTTGATCATGTCCTTGAACATGCACTTGAACACGAGGATTGTGGCCATGAAACACTGTAATAATGGATGCTGAATCACCATTGCACTGTGGGTGTGGGTGTAGAGAAGCTGTGGTAGACATGACAGCATCCTATAAAAACCTGTATTATTTTGACACGCCATTAGATTGTAGCTTTTTAAAAATATTGCAAATAGAGAAAACACCGATCCACCTACATCCTTACACCCCTTAGAAGATTTCTTGAGGAGTATAGGACTTAGATTCACAAATCATATGAGCAAAGGTATTAAATATTTTTTCTTCTTCTTACTAGGATTAAGAAAAGGGAAGTGAGATTCAGATACTATTTTGACAATTTCACCATGTTTTTCCTTTGAAAAAATAAAAACGTTAACTCTCTGAAACATTCAAAAGACATCTTAATTTTTTTTCTTATAAGAAAAATATTGTACATGATTCACAAGATTTCTTAGATTTTTTTTCCAATAAAATATGTGAAACTTTCTTTGGGGAGAGTTCTTCACAGGACTGTCAACATCTCCACACTTGGCAAGAAGAGGCACAACTTGCCTCAGTTCTGAAGTATCTATTGCGGGAAGCATGTAGAGTGAGTCACAGGGAGACAGGGGGTCTCTCTTTTTTTGGTGCAAGACGAATGTGTGTTTACTTGAGTCCTAAAATGTTCAGGTCCGCTAAAACTGAGGTCCCCTTTCTTACAGTGCAACCCACTGCATATGGAAAGATTAGTCGACCCTCTCTACATTACTATTGATAACAAAAAAAAAAAAATGCAGCTCTTATTTTAAAGGGAATAAGAGATAGCATATTCTGGAGTCACATTTGAGTAGCCAAGGCCTGGGAATACAGATTAAGGTTACAATAAATTCCACAATCTAATGTGGAAGCAGTTTCACAAAGTTTTTAGTTTTACAAGAAAGTGGCAGGATTCAATATCAACTTATAGAAATGTGTAGACTGAGAAGTAGATCATGGGAACTGCCATTCATAATAACATATGTATGTATGTATGTATGTATGTATGTATGTATGTATGTATGTAAGTATATGAATAAACCCAACCAAGAGGGTAAAAATCCTCTACACTGAAAACTTGAAATGTCTAAGGAAAGAGATTGGAGAAGACACTAGAAGACAGGAAGACCTCGCACCCTCATGGATTGTCAGTCTACAGATTCATTGAAATCTCAATCAAAATCCCCATGGTATTCTTTACATTAATCATAAAATTCATATAAACCCTAAAGTCTGCATATAGCCTAGGTAACATTGTTCAAAAGGAACAATGCTTAAGAGGAGGGGAGAGGAGGACATGAGGGAGCAGGAAAATTGAGTCAGGAAAAGAACTGAGGAGAGCAACGAAAGAGATACCATAATAGAGAGAGACATTATAGGTATAAAGAGAAATCTGACACTAGGGAAATGTCCAGAGATTTACAAGGATGATCCCAACTAAGAATCTAAGCAATAATGGAGAAGCTACCTTAAATGCCCTTTCCAGATAATGAGATTGATGACTACCTTATATGCCATCCTAGAGCCCTCATCCAGTAGCTGATGGAAGCAGAGGCAGACACCTTCAGCTAAACACTAAGCCTAACTCCTGGAATCCAGTTGTAGAGAGAGAGGAGTAATGAGCAAAGGGGTCAAGACCAGGCTGGAGAAAACCACAGAAACAGCTGACCTGAATAAGTGTTAGGTCATGGTCCCCCCAGAATGATAGCTGGAAAACCAGCATAGAACCAACCCAGACCCCCGAATGTGAGTATTAGTTAGGAGGACTGGGCCGTCTATGGGGCTTCCGATAATAGATCAGTATTTATCCCTAGTATACGAATGAACTCTGGGAGCCCATTCCACATAGAAGGATACTCTCTCAGCCTAGACACATTGGGGGAGGGCCTAGGCCCTGCTCCAAATGATGACAGACTTTGATGATCTATGTGTACTAGCTAGGAAGTGCAGACGACCTAAATGTATTTCAACCGACAAATACATAATGGAAGTGGCAAATACATATATACTATGGAATACTTTTTAACCATAAAACAAAATTACAAAAAAACCCCAAAATCATGAAATTTGCAGGTAAATAGAGGGAACTAAAAAAAATGTACTGAATGAGATAACTTAGAAGGTAACCAGGATGACAAATCATATCTGCTCTCTTTACGTATAGAACCTTGATCTGAACCTTTAGATGTGGTATATAACCTACCATAATACCGTAACTGCAGGAGCCAGGAAGATAAAAATGAACGATGGGTGAGTAAGACTCTAGAGAGAGGAATAATAGAACACAGATGCTTTGAAAGGGGAAATGCGGGGAAAAAAAAACGGAGTTATTAGGTGGGGAAAGGGATGGAAAGGCAATACAGATGGAAAGAGAAGGAAGAGTGATAAATACCGCCAATGATGTTCAAAAACACCATGAAAATTATATTATTCTACATTTACTTAAAATTATGTTGTGTGTGTGTGTGTGTGTGTGTGTGTGTGTGTGTGTTAAATGAAGTAATGTCACCTACACTTGGGTTGATAATGCTTCCCCCAAAGCCATAGACTAACAAAAAGTCCCAGTGCCAGAGCCAGCGAGAGGTAGCCCAGCAGTTAAGCGCACTGGTGCTCTTGAAGAGGACTGAAGGTTGATTCTCAGCATCCATATGTAATTCATGATGGTCTGTAACCCCAGTTCTAGGGATCTGGCACTGCATTCTTGACCACTCCTTCCTGCCCCGCCCCAACAGGCACTGAATGCAGATGTAGCAATTACATGCACATAGGCAAAACACTTAGGACACATAAAATAAAAATAAGCAATTATAAAAAAAGAAGAAATGAGGGGCAGGCTTGGGAAATCGGCTTTTAAGTTATTGGCCTGTGAAGTACAGGAAACTCGCAAACAATTTAGGCTCCTACCATTATCATTGGTTGCTTTCCAAAAATCAAAGTTAATGCTCCATTGCTAAATTTACATATGTAAGACACTTATGACAACGGAGTGGAAGAATTGAGCTGGATCTGACCTAGAAGTCTCTTCCCTAGGGACTGGCTCTCATCACACTAGAAGGGAGAGCTGCCAAGGAAGAAAAGCAACCAATAGTTCTGCCCAGCTGTAATGCTTACAAAGCACAATGTCCCAAAAGGTGTAACAGTGACATTCGTATATCTTAGGGAGTAACCAACAGACTGTCTAATTGGAACGTACAGCCACACAAAAGGAGGACCTCCTGTCTGCTAGTGTAAACCAATTCCTTTACCGATGGCTGATGAGATGCAGTAGACCCTAAATGAGAACATACTATTGCCACTTTCCTAAAACAGCAAAATTTCTAAGTGCATTCTCAATACCCAGGTTTATGCCCACAGGTAAGCGTGGCTGACATACCTTATCAATGAAGTTTGTTTTTGTAGCAGATGAACATCATTACAAGTACCCTACCCATACCTGGTCAGAATACAGAGAACAACTGACCACAGGGTGACCAACCATCATTGATAATCTGCAAAACAACTCCGGTACCTAAGGTTCATTGATGATGATGGAGAGGGGTCTGAAAGATTGTAAGAGCCAGAGGACCAGGAAGTCTCCTGTAATACAGTGTCTTCTATATATTATAGAGAAGCCACACCCAAGAAATAATCAATCTGATGAGCTAAACAAGACCAGCACAGTGCCAGCCCTGGTTGCCATCCCAGTGGGGGTGGGAAAACATCACAGGGCCCCATCCCTAAAAGAAAAACTACAGATAATTACTGAATGCTGAGAGAGGGCAAAATTAGTCTTCTCTAGGAATGAGCCATTTCCTAATAAACTATCCAATCTCAAGAGATCAGACCTAAACACATGGACATAGGAGCAATAGTAAAAGGACTCAGCAGGCTTTATTTTTTAAAATTGTGTGTGTATAATAATAGTAATCATTAAAGACTGGAGGCCATGAATTTAAGAGGGGTTGGAAGAATTGGAAGGAGGAGAGGAAGTGTGGAGGGATGATACAGTACTCATATGGGGAATTTGTAAGAAATAAATTAAAAATAAGTTTTTCTCCAACAAATAAATTAATCCACTATTTTTAAAATTTAGCCTTACATGAGTTCTCAGAACTGGGGAAGCATGTAGTCAGATTCTTTGCCAGATTATAATCTGGATAGCATCTAGCCCAAGTTTTCTCTAGAATCTCATTCTTCTCCATACCCTCATGAGCTGGGTTTACACCCCTGTGCATTTTCTTCAACATTCTTGTTCCAGGCCCCCACCAGGATGGTCTATTACATTCTGCATACAGTATATAAGAGGTGAGCCTGAATTTCCAAACCCTCCCATCTTTCTCTGCAAACCAATTCCAAATGTCTAAGGTCAGTTGTAACACAGCAACAACCTAACTTTTGCTACCAATTTTCTATAAATTATTTATTCCATTGCTGCTGTGAAACACCAGAAACTCAACATCAAAGAAGAAAGGTCTTATTTTGGTTCAGTTTGAAGATATGGACATATCATAGCAGACAGGGTTTGATCAGAATGAAGCAAAGAGAGATAAATGATGGCGCTCAATTAATGTTCTTCTTTGAATTCACTCTAGGTCAAGACCGCATGGAATAGCTCATCCATAGTTATGAGTGGACCTTTATTAATTGAATCTAGTTAATACCTCATAGGCATCACCAAGGGATTGTTGCCTATGGGATTCTGAGGGCTATCAAAAGAGCAATCAGTATTAACTATCATGAGAGGCTTTTAAAAAATTATGAAGCACATTATCTAACAGACAAAGGTATAAATAGTTTCAAAGGAAAGAAAGTCCTATGGGCTAAAGAGGATGTAAAAATTTTTCTGGAAGTTTCAGTGTCACCTGTGACTCAGAGGCAATTAGGAGGCTTGCAAGAGGTAGGAAATAGAAGGGAAACCTTAGATACAAGCAGATGTGTCTGATTAGTGTGACGATGGTGTGGAGAATCAGTAGGCAGGGAGAGGATAGTTTTCATGTTCACAATATATAGGCTTCAAGAATGGTGATAGAAATGAGAAGTAGTGGGTTTTAGTGTAAAACCAGAATGTGAGGAATGCTGGAGACCGGGGATGAAATTTGCAAATGAAGAGACAGTACACAAACCTCCAATGCATGGGGCAATACAGAGAAATCTGGAAGAAGCCAAAGAAGATCCAAGTTCTCATTTCACCTACCTCATACTTTGGCTAAGGGACGAGTCTAATCAAATCTACTTGGATGTAAGTTCTGTTTCTCCACTTGCCAGTACAGAGAGCCAAGGGCAAGTTAGGCTCCTCTCAAAGATGTGTATTTTTCCCCAAAGGATACTTAAGGAAGAGCAGTCTGAGAAATATTTGTTGACTAGATATGTGCTGGCAGCAGCCGGACTATATCAAGCCCATGATAAACACATAATAAACTTGATTCTTGAAACATTAGTGTTTTGCTTGTCTTGTTATTAACTGTTGTTACTAAGTTGCCTATTGCTTTCTCTAGCAAATACGTTATAGTTAGGCAAAAGATATATTAGTCACTCTAAGGTAATGGTAAACTTCATGTGCAAAACATTCAAGTAGAAAAATGTTAACTTCTTAATTAAATTTAAATTTATCACTCAAAATGGGTCAGGATTTTTGTCAGATCACATACCCTTGTGATTTTTTTTTTTTTTGCTACAAAAAAGGTAAATGCTCTCCAGTGTCTTACTTGATTCAAGAACATCCTTATTCTTGTAAGCTACAGCTACATGGCACTCTCCTGAAATCAGTTCCTGATACATTCCACATGTAACCACAGTGCCTCTGGAAGAGAAGCTTCCTGGCTACATCAGAGGGGTTTACAGAGATAGTGAAAAAAACAAAACAATTGGAGTCTGTTAGAAGCCATTGAAATGTCTACACTTAACCTGTCTTGCAAGAGGGAAGGCTGCTTCTTCCAAGTGAAATCCCATACTTTCTAGGTGAGGGGATAGGCCATTTAGAATGCCTTGTTCTTGGAGAGCACACATATTAAATTCATCAGTTGTTGGCTAACTGTACTAGCTATAAAGTCACCCTGATCTTGGCTGCCTTAAAACAGATGGGTTCCCTTACAACACAGCCATCATTCAAACTCAGCAGCCTGGTTGCCCTCTGGTTCCAAAAGAGCGGTGGGATCACCAAATGTCATAGGTATGATATAGCTAGGGATGGAGTCAAAGGGCTGTGGATACTGAGGGGTCACCGCAGCGGAGCAGGGCCTTATATACTGCAATAACCCCCAGACACATGTCTGATATTTCCTCGGTTAGAGCAAGCTGCTATACCCAACCCAGCTAAGTTTACCATGGGATTCAAAACCTAAGAAGGAATGAGATCGATTGGGCTTATCACTGGAGAGGCTGAGTAAGCAGGGCCAGGGCCAGGGCCAGAGCAGCTAGCTGCCTTAAGGCAGCAATACAGCAAACAAAATCACACAATAGATCTCTTCAGGTGACTATGCTGAAAGCTTTAATATATAAAATCGCCTTTTTTAGACTCAGAATGGGGAGAGGTATTAAGGGCAACACGTATCTGATTTTCTCATTCTATTAATTTTAGTTGATGCACCCTTTTAGTGCAATTCAAAGCCCCCCCCCTCTCTCTCTCTCTCTCTCTGTGTGTGTGTGTGTGTGTGTGTGTGTGTGTGTGTGTTGTAAGGTAGGAGGGAGGGCCCTTTGTTGCTTTGTTGTTTTGTTCCTCTGTGCTGACGTGGCCTTCAGAAAGTGGCTTTTGTGTGCAGCCAAGAGACCTGGTTTCAAATGCCAGCCTGAGCATCTTCAGGCTCATTAATAATGGAGGCGTCTGACAGGGCCAGCTTTGCTTGCTTTGTTTCCCCTGTAGATGAAAGGGGACATGGATCTTTCTGTTTTGCCCAATAACAACCATCCTGACAAATTCCTGCAGCTTGACGTGAAGTCTTTAATGAGGAGCTCAACCCTTCTGCAGGCTAGCCTCGCGAGATTTCCGGGTGGAAATTTCCCGGCTACACAACACTGGCAAAACCTTGTCTACTCCCAGGTAAGATCTAAGGACAGATAAATACAGGTTGGAAGCTTGTTTCTTTCTCACTGCATGGCATTTTTCGTATCCGTGCGAAGGAGGCTTTGGGTGGGGGATAAATAGAAGCTGCCCATTCCTCCCCACCCCTTCCTATAGGCTCTGTGTAAAGATGTGCAAATTCTCCCACCGGTTCCTTCCCCTCCAAGCCCCGCTTCTCGGCCTGTCTTTGTTTCAGTGTGCGTAGCTCTCGTTTACTCCTACCCTTCAGAACATTTTAAACCAACTATGTTCAAATAAGATGCGGGGGAAGAAATTCTTAAACTCTGTCTGTTGCTGTGATCTATGCATAAAATATCACATGGTTACCGCGCAAGAGTGGTATACCTGCCTCTGAGGAAGCCTGACACTTGCCTCTGACCCTGTAAGACTCCCCTTCCTCTGATACAAAAGAGTGCAGGGTCAGATGAGCAACGGGAAAAGGCTGGGGAGAGACACTCCATCTTGGAAAGGAAGTGGCTCTCAGCTTACACGCACCTCTTCCACAGGTGTCTGCATGGACCAGGCCATAGGAATAAGACCTTCCAATCTAATGGGATCTCGCTGCTGTGGTTCTTTCACAAAAGAATGCAGCTGATGGGTTCCATCTGCTGAGATCAACAAAGGCCCCTGCTGAGGCTCATTGAACAGGGATAATCTTGTTTTTGTTTTAAGATGTGGAGGCTAATGGCGTTGGGGGCTACTCCAGGTAGCAAGCGGAAAGGGCATTTTATTTCAGAAACATGTGATTGACCTACGAGCCCCTGTAAGGCCTTAAATTCTTTGGAGTGTTTAAATTCCCTGAACAGAAATCAGTTTGTTTTTAAGAACAGTCGCTACTCATGATTCCTGGTGTACAAGGACTACTTACTTGGTGATGTGCCTGTGGGTATATTGGGACATACATGGAAAATTCGTTTAGAGTCAGATGATTATGTAAATTGCCTCTACTTTAGAAAGGGTTCAATTCGTTTCCATTGTAAGTCAGCCTGTTATAACAACTGGAATTTGTTGTTACTTTTTTTTTTTTTTAATTTTGCATGCAATCTTTGTAACCCTCAAAGCCCTGTGGCTTTCCTTACACACCCACTTATCACTGTTTTGTGTTTTGCTTGGTTAAATGAAATAGAGTTCTTCCTATATCTCATTTTTTTTTTATGTTACAGAACAGAAGAATTGAAATTATTTCAGAAAATTTTGCCCCTCCTCCACTTCCCTCCCTGTGAGGTTCACTGTAAAGACACATAGCCAATAGATTTTTTCTGGGCTGCGACACAGCAATCTTCCAGCATCCTTTGTTTGATGCTGGGGCTGTTCTACTGCCTCCATGTGGAATTTCACAACCAAAACTCAAAACCTGAAGAAATGCAAATTTTTATGCAGGCCCTTTTGGGTCTAAATAATTATTCAAACAACAAGGGCATATACTTCTGCGTATGTATCTTTGATAAACCTCAACTAATTATCTTTTTCACCCTAAAAGAAAATGACAAGTAACTTAGTGAAGGCGAATTTACTACTGAAGTAAAGGATAGAGGGAAGCCATGATAGACAAGTGTGAATCAGGAAATTAGGTAGACAGGACGACGTGCTGCTTCAAACCATGAGTAAGGACGTCTGGTCTTCACAGTTATCAGTCAACTGCTTGAGTGGACCCCAAAATTAAAACTGACGTTGAATACAAAGTAGATAAATATGAAGAAATGGGAACATAAAATTTTGAAATAGTCAGAACAATGCTTAAAAATATTTTTCCATATACCAAGAATATTAAATGAGGTGTTAAGCATGTCTACAGAGGGAGTTGTCAAATAATTCTTAATTAGATTTCTCACTGGGTGGTGGATTAAGCAAATGAAAAGATTATGGTAACACTGTTATCATGTATGAAATTCTGAAAAAAAATAATTAAAAATTTAGTTGCTATTCATAGGAAGAAAATTTGGGATTCAGTATGATCTCCTGAAAAATTAACACAACCATCACTTTGTTTCTTAAGAAGTGAGAACAAATACTGTATAAGGAAAAGTCTGTGGCCTCTGGTTTCCTGTAAGAGTTTAAGAAGTAGAAACAGTAGAGCAGGCTGTAATTCAGTTGATAGGCAGAGCACCTCCCTGACATGACAGAAGCCCTGGTTCTTAAACTGAGCACTGAGAAACCCTGTGCTGGTTCTTAAACTGAGCACTGATAAACCCTGTGCTGTGTACACCTGTAATCCCAGCACTCACAGGCAGGATCAAGAGCATCAGAAATTCAGGGTTCAGTTATATAAACAGTTGGAGGCCAGTCTGGATTGCCTGCAATTTTGTCTCCATTTTGGACTTTTGTTGTTGTTATGTTTGTCTGTGATGTGTCATCCTTCTTCAAGCTCTGATGGTTGAAATTGGAGGTGTGTGCCTCCATACCTGGTGGCTGAAGCTCTGGATATCAAATACAAGGTTCAGGAATGCTAGGCAAGCATTCTATCGATGTGTGAGCAAACACACACACACACACACACTTTTTTTTTTTTAATTAAGGGATAAAATGTTTAAAGGTATTGTATTGGGAACTGGTTTTACTGGTGAGCAACTGAACTTCTGAGTCTATTCAAGTGAGCTTTGTCTATTTCTGACTCCTTTCACATTGGTTTCAGAACCCTGGGGCTTCTTAGAGGAAATCTGTGAGCTGGAGTGAAAATTCAGTGGTGAGAAATGGGCATCCTTATTTCTAGACAAGCTCATTCACTGGCTTCATGTCCTAACCCGCATTCTTCACTGCTTTTCAGTCCCACACCACTGTTTTCTTTAAATATCAACACTCCATACGTATTTCTATGTGTGTTCATTTATGTGCATGCATGCATATATATGCTTGTATGTATGTGGGTATTCTATGTGTATGTGTATATGTATATGCATTTGCGTGTGCTCGTATATATTTAGGTGCATATGAGTATATGTGTGTATATGTATGCATCTGCATGTATAGATGTATGTGTGTATTCTGTGTGTGTGTGTGTGTGTGTGTGTATGCATGTGTTTGTGCTTTAGCCTACCATTTTGTAATGCCACATTTTACTTTCGCTGTGTCATCATTTAAAACATTTCCATTGTGTTTTTTGTTTTTGTTTTTAACCTAAAATATAGTCTAAATGATTACAGAATTTATATTTGGGATCTGTTTTTGATGGTTTCTAGATTATTAATTAAATTGTTTGTGTACTTTCCCTTAGAATCTGTCACACTATCAATGTTTTGAAATACTTACAAAATAGAGTATTTCCAACTGTTGAGGTCAATTGATTGGATTTCTTAATTTTGTTGTGCAAATTGTCTTTATCTTTGGGAATTTTTTTGAATGTATGTATGTAATTTTAATAATTACTTTAAATTTTATTGTTACCATAATTTTATATCAGATATAAAATGTTATAGTTATACTTTGCTGATGATGCTACTTTTATTCAAAACCTTTGTAGCTATCACAGCTTCTTGCCTTAAATTTATTTTGTTTGATATATTATATTGTGATATTATATAATACCATATTATATTGTACTTTCTGTGGTGGTTAGCTATGTTATGTTGTAGAAATGAACATCATGCAATAGGATATGTAATACATCTGTCCCCTTGAGATGCTGATGCTGTGCAAAACCTGAGAAGCTTACCTGAAAGTAGAATTCAAATTCTCTTTCTGGAGGTTCTTTCTACAATATCAGAATTTGCGTTATGTCTGCAGACCAAGAAGACAGAGAGGAAGCCACAGATACTGTTGGGGAGGTTAGTAATCAAGCCTGAGTTTTAACCCAACTGCTGTGTGTCATTGGAGAGGAAATGGATTTGTTGTGTGTCCAGCCAAGTACTACTTCATTCTTATGCTTTAAAATAGATGCCATGCTTAAGATAAGACACTTCAAATATATTATATATAATCTAGTGTGTGTGTGTGTGTGTGTGTGTGTGTGTGTGTGTACATAGATTCCTAAACACTTGCCTTCCCCACAGAATTGACAACGAGATCATCTATCACATTGAAGATTCCTCCTTACCACCATGCTTAGCACAGTTCCTACAAACCATCCTAACCTTACAAATTCCCCTTTAGAGAAACCGGATTATTCCTCTACACTAATTTCTTTCTTTCTGAGCAGTGGTGGTCACAATTCCAAACCCATCTGAAATCTCTCCAGCAGTGTTTGTGCAGAACCCTTCCCTGGAGGTGAGGCAGGAGATCTGCTCTCTGTGAGGACCCCCTACTCTCCATCTCCACAGCCCCATGCGCCGGGCTCTTGGGAGGGTCTCAGAGCTTCTGCTCTTTTTCATGGGAATTTGGAGACCCATGCTTATTATTGTTTTCTCGATCTTGGGTCTGTTGTTTTTGTACTTATTCTCAGTTTTGATGTCTAAATGACTGGAAATGTAGATGGCAATGTTTGCCCGGAATACCCAAGTGATTTCATTTTGTTTTAAAGACTCTAGTTCCCATCTTGTAGTATCTTCAGCGGTTTATTACCTATACAATTTATTTAACTTTTTGTTATCCTCTTTATTTAGCCACAGATGGTTCTTTTGACATAAAATACCCCTACAGGTCCTTTAAAGCCTCAAACTGGCCTTTGGAGCTTGCTTTCCTGTTTCTGTTTTTCCAATTTCTGGCTTAATGGCCACCAACCATGAGGCTTATAAAGCCAGGCCTTCAACATAATCTTGGCCTTCAGTACTTTATACAGCTAAGACATTTTCCTTGTCTTCCTATTTTCTGTTTGTAAGTAATTTTACATCTCAGTGTTTGGGGCCTGCAGTTATTACACTAGGAAACACCACACCTTTAGACTATCCTTGCATACTTTTAACCATCCTGTTGAATTCATTGACAAGGGAATGTTCTGACAAGATACCTATAACTATGTAAAGTTTCAGATTTGCCAAAAGTTAGCAATGATTATCTCCCAATTATCATAGTAACACTTATATGAAATCATTTCCATTATTGTGTAACTGTCTTCAAGCTTCCAATAGCAGGGGTAGAGATATGACCTGGATGGTAAAATGGCCACCATGCAAGTATGATGCTCTCAGTTCAGTATTCCCATGAAAATCTGGGCTTCAGGGCATGTCTCCACAGTTCCAGTGCTAAGGTGAGGTGGTGTTGGGACTGATGGATTCCTGAAGCTCACAAGCAGCCAGTCCAGTTGGATCAGTGAGTTCCAAGCTCACGAAAAGACCTTGTCTCAAAAAAAATATGGAGCAAGCTGGTTAAGGGAGACACCAATGTCAAATTCTGGTGTCCATTCATACATACATGTGCACTTGTATGTATACTCACAAGCACATGCACACAGAGAAACATGTACATATACCACACACATACACACAGAGAGAGAGAGAGAGACAGAGATAGAGAGACAGAGAGAGAAAATATTCCTTCTGGGTTCAGGAGTGTGGAGCTCTGCAACAATGGGACATAACTGCCACCTCCCAGTGGTTCTTCAGCACTGGAGAGGGAGGTAACCGCTCACCACAGTGACAAGGGTGACAGTCTTTTTGATCATGAAGCCTTAGGAACAGCAGATGGACTGGTTGTGTGTGGGGGTGGGTGGCTTCTCTTTTCCAAGCCGTGTCTATGGTTTCCAGTTGCTTATTTTATGGTTCTGCTGTCTCAGATCCCTGCCTACAGTGTCAAAAACAAACAAACAAACAAACAAACACAAAACAAATAGAAAGCAACAGAAATCGTGTGGAAGAATTTGGAAACAGCTTGGATATGACCTCAAGTCACTTGTGCTGCACTTTCTTGGTTTTTGAAAAGCCTGACCCCAAACTAATTTCAGGGCAGATGAAAGAAGCCGGACACCCTGTGCGCTCAACCAAAGAAAGCAAGCTGCTTGTATCCAGCTAGTACTGTGTCTGGGTCTCTGTGTGCATATACACCTCCTGTATCTTACATTCTTTAAACTTTCATACTTGTTGAGTTCTTAAAGTTGGGGTATTAAATATTGAATAGTTGAATTTACATTTTAAAATCTGATCTACTGGTCTTGCTCACTGAAGTAGGAAATTAAGCCTGCTTCTGTTTAATATGCTTACTTATGACTTTTCCTTTGTGTGTTCTTGAGATAGCCTACATTTTATACCCTCATCCTCTTGAGATTAATCATCTTACCTTCATCATTTCTTAAAGCTCTGGTAATTTGGAGATAGATAAATTTCTCTGATTTCAACACTATCTCTATCCTTCCCCTGCAACTAGTTCTCAGTTTCTTAATTAAACACCCATGTTAAACTTTTTACTTTCTAATTCTTTTGTTTACTTTAAAATCAAGTTGTATCTCATTGATTTCTGTTTATTTTTCAGCATTCCTTTGTCTCAGTCTCCCTGCCCATCACTATTTTACTCCCTCTTGATGTATATTCTTAGAGGTTCATGTTTTAACGGCCTGTTAGCTGTTAGCCTTTATGATTTTTTCGCCAGAATATGTCTTCTAGCTCTTTTTATTAAATGGTACTTTACTTGCATATTAAAGTATTAGGATTAAAATAAATGGACATAGTTTGGCTTAATAATGAAAGTCTAGTTAAACTTGGAAGCATTACTTTAAATAAATATTTTAAATGGAATTTATTTTGCAATTCAATTGACTAAAATCACAGAAATGCTACTAAATTTTTGTCTTAGTATGTCACCTAAGATGTAGCATCAAGGGCTGAACTTTATATATGTTCTTTATTTTCTTAAATCTATTTGAAAAAAAAATAGTAAAATACAAATGAACCCCTTTTTTTTTTTTTTTTTTGTAAACTGCTATGTGAACCTAGATATTCACTCTTGCTGGGTAAGTATTCTGCCATTGAACTGTATCTTAAGCCCCAGAATTAGTATTTATTTTTATCCTGGCATTAGATAATAATTATTATTTGTTTGGCTATCTCAGGGATGGGACCCAAGATCTCCAGTAATGTGAGCATGTGCTCAGTGCCTGAACCACATCTCCAGTAATCCTATCAGATTCTTTTTGAGTAATTTAATATATAAATTATAAAAATAAATAATTTGTTCGAATTAGTAACAAAGCTTAATAATAATATTCTTTGGTGTGCCCTTCAGACATGAGAATGCTGTGTAGATCAGAGACAAAGAACCCATTTCAGGAAAATATTTAAAAATTTTCAAAGATATGGTCAAGGAACAAGCCTTAAATCCACTTCAGAATATACCTCTGATTGTTTTGATACCTTCACCTATGAATTCTTCTAAACATACATATATTTTTTATAGTGTATACATACTTTTCTTGAGCCACACATTTAATTTCCCTCATTTATCAAACCTCTTTATTTATGTGGAATGATCAGTCTAGCAGGAAAAGAACCTAACAAAAACAGTCCATGCCTGTCAGAAGAGTTAGCTTGCTTCAGAAATGATCAAAGCTGTCCAGGCTTGAAGAAAACAAAAGAGTTATTATTGTGTTAAGCTCAAATAACCTTAATTTCTTGTCAGATTACTTTATTTAATAAAGAACGACACTTACAAATCTACTCATCTTTGAGCTAAATGTTAAGATGAGGTTTATTATTTTATAATACAATTTAAGATTATAGGCTATATAGTCTATAAATTGACTTTTAGCAGCCAAAAAACAAAATTAAAGTAAAAAAAAGGTCTCCAAATTTATCTCTATAATATGAATGATGCATGCAAGAACATCAAGGAAGGGGCTGGAGAGATAGCTCAGTGATTAAGCTCACTCGATGCTCTTCCACTGAACCCAGGTTAGATTCCCAGCATCCACTGCTTCTGTAACTTAAGTTCCAGGGGATCTGACATCTTCTCTGGCCTTGGAGTACATCAGGCCCATGTGATACACATACGTGCATGCAGACACACACTAATACACATAAACAAAAATGAAATAAATAAATCTTTTTATTTAAAAGTCATGCAAACACGATGCCCAGAAGAACACAGATGGTTTTATTTAGATTATTTTTCCCTTTACTTACAAGTTATTTTAGGACATGTCATGTAATGCCTACAATTTTAGTTTGTATAAGTACACATTTAGTCTATGTCCTAAGAGGTGCTGAGGCCAAGGTTTGTCATACTCATGACTCAGAAGGATGTGATTGATTTCTATTGGTATATCTCCAATGTTCTTAGGTTCAGTCATCAATATTACAAACACACACACACACACACACACACACACGCACACGCAGAGCATGTGGGAAAATCACATGCATTTGTCATGTGTATCCTTTTCTACATTTCAATTTATTTTCAAAAGTCAAGAATTGATTACTCTAGGGTACAGCTGGTCAATAGACACATAGAGGTGAATGAAGGTCAATTGACTCAGTTGCTCTATGACTTTTCCTGGAGGCAGGGAGATGCAAACAAATCATTCCACCTCAGACAGGGTAGTGATAGCAGTCCAAAGAAACGATCCCGTCCAAGTATAGCTTAGTGGAACAATAAGTTTATTACAGTAACTTATAGGAGCATGGGCAACTCAGGCAACTGTAGCTCCAAAAAGTCCATTTCATCTTGGGTGTGGCTCTATTTGTACCAGCTTACAGACAGCTCCACAGAAAAGACTCCTATAACCTAGCTATTGTTTGTTGCTTTTATAGCCTTAGGAAGATGCCTTGTGAATCTTGTGATCCTTGAGCCTCCCTGAGAATTTGAGAGTCTTGAATTTCCTGATTCTGATAAAATGAGATATTAGTTTCCCAGGTTTATTGAACCTACACTCTTTGTCTAGCATGGAGTGTTTCAATTTGGGACAAGAAACTATGCAGTAACCCTCCTCAAAACTCTGAAATAGGAGCTGAGGTGTGTTTATAAAAAACCAAGACTTTTAAAAATGACTTAAAAGGGATTTTAACTTTATTTTGTGTGTGTGTGTGTGTGTGTGTGTGTGTGTGTGTGTGTGTGTGTGTGTGTGTCCTTGTATGCATGTATGTTCATATACTTTCATAAGGACAGGTCATGAGAGTATGGAGGTCAGAGGTCAGGAAAAGGACAGTACTAGTTTCAGGATTCTTTTCTTTTCCTTTAAGTAAAAAAAAAAAACAATCTTATTTTACATACCAATCCCAGTTCTCTTTCCCTCCCATCCTCCCACCACCCCACCAATCCCCATCCCACCCCCTTCTCTGTCCATTCTCCAGGGAAAGTGAAGCCTCCCATGAGTGACCATCAAAGTCTGATACATCATTTGGGGCAGGGCCTAGGCCTTGTATCTAGGCTGAGAGAGTATCCTTCCATGGGGAATGGGCTCCCAAAGTTCATGAACTAGGAATAAATATTGGTTTCACTGCCAGAGGCCCCATAGACTGCCCAGGCCTCCTACGTGAGACCCATACTCAGGGGACCTGGGTCAGTCCTGTGCTCCCCCTTGTTCAGGTCAGCTGTTTTTGTGGGTTTCCCCAGCATGGTCTTGACCCCTTTGCTCATTACTGCTTCCTCTCTACAACTGGATTCCAGGAGTACTGTTCAGTGCTTAGTTGTGGATCTCTGCTTCTGTTTCCATCAGCTTCTTGGTGAAAGCTCTAGGATGGCATTTAAGGTAGTCATCAATCTCATTATAGGTGAAGGGCCTGTCCACTATTGCTTAGAAGTTTCAGGATTCTATTCTGTTCTTATGCTATGAGGGTTTGGGGATCAAATCTAGGCTGGCAGGTTAGCAGCAAGCACCTTTATCTGCTGAGCTGTCTTGCACTCCCAGAAAATATTGTTGATCTTTATTTTTCTTGATTTATATAACACTGTTAAGTACTATTTTTTGAATCTTGGCATATACTAAAAAGCATAAAATGCCATTAAACTCTACTCCGAAGAGCTTGGTTTCTTCAGAATTCTTTTAGATAAGTTGGAGAAGACTATTCTTTCTTCATAGCCTCAAAATGTCATTGAAATGGTCATTAAATTGAACAGGATAACATATAAAGAGAGAGCTCTGAAATGGTAGAGGTCTAGATCAAAGTATATCCTAGAGTCATTTCCTAATTCATTGCCCAATCTGTTGAATTTGAGGCAGAATCAACAAATCTCCAGATACACATTACTGCTGTTTTGGCTTCTCTGCCACCATGAAGCCCATTTTATTTTCTTACCTCCTAACAGAGAGAAAAGAACATTGCTTCTCAACAAGCTAAAGGATTTGGCGGGGAGAGCGCAGTTCTCCCCGACAGTCCTCCACCATCCATGTCTTCAGTAGTGAAGAATAACCCGCTATACGGTGATGTAAGCTTGGAAGAAGCTATGGAAGAGAGAAAAAAGAATCCTTCGTGGACCATTGAGGAATATGACAAACATTCTGTGCACACAAATCTCTCTGGACATCTAAAGGTGCGTATATGAAGAGTGATCTTGAACTGATCAGCCAGATCAGCTAAGTGAACCTGAGACATGACGAGTTCCTAACTGAGCACAGAATCTCCAGACCCGAAGTCTTTTTGGTCCTTGAAATTATTTCTCTTTCTCGGCCAATGTTTGGAGTTATTTATTTGTTTTGTATTTTGCACAGCCAATCTCATCTGTGTAGTGTAGAGAGAAGAGAAGGCAAGTAGCAATGATAAAAGGTCTCCTGAGAAGATGAAAGTTGTTTTTTAAATCAATTGGTAAGGTCATATATGTTTTTTCTAGTTTGTAATCTTGTAGTTGTTTGTACTCATGAAGAGAATTTCTTTCTCTACATTTTCCCAAACTACCTATGAAGTGATTAGAGTTAGGTACTGTGCAAGGAAACCCCTAACAATGATCCTTTTTATTAACATTCCAAAACCCATGACATGATTTAAGAGTGAAGGTTTACATTTTCGTCATTTTCCTTGTATCTTAAAACAAGAAAAAAAATGCAATGGATACATTCACCCAATGGGGGGAGATTGTGTTCTCCAAATTTTTTTTTCTTCTTCTGATGTTACCTACACACAGAAGACCCAAATACTTGGAAGCCAGTGGACTCTCTGTTATCTGAAAGGACTAGATTCCTGACCAGCCTCCGCTTGCCTCCACCTGCCTTAGGCCAGAAAGGTCTGACATTTCAAAGTGCCCTTCATTTAAAAATGTGTGTCTGGTGTGAGTTCATACCTTATCCACCTGTGGTGAAACATTTTCTTTTTAAAGGGGGCAGTGCCGTAGGTCTTTATGTTCTGTACACAGGGTTTAAAGCCTCAACTGTGCATTCCTTAAAATACGTAATGGTCTAGAATCACTGACAGCTCTTAATCATCTAGCTTGAAGGTAGCTGCCCCCACCCACCCCTGCCTCCTACCCCCCCCCAGTTATTTTCTTTCTGAGAAGTTTGCAAAACACACATCCCCATGGCAACAACAATGCATTTCTTTTCCTCTTTTTTGTTTTGGTTTAATCTGGTGTTTCTTACCATATACTTCATATCATTAATTCTGTTATTGGGGAAAGTGCATTGATTTATTTCACATGTAGTCTCTTACTGCTGGGCACAAGTTAAGGCCTGTTCTCTTGTCTCCACTGTATGCATATGTGACAAGGGGATGGTGGGAATGATAGTTGCATTCCTTCCTGCACACAAACCTATTGACCTTAGTAAATAGAAATTGTCTGCTTGATTCACAGACTGTAGTTTTCATCTGTCAATTAAAAGAAAATTAAATATTTTTTTCCACAAAAGTTTTATTTGTTTGTTTATTTTTAAGTTTGGATGTCAGACTTATGAAATTGAAGACCACCATCAAATTCGGAATATATTTCTAATTACATTTACGACGATCAAACAAAAGCATAGTGGATGCTGTTACTCAAAGTGCCAGTCCCCCACCTATCTGGCCCTCTGTGCACACACACACTTCTCAAACCAGTTGTACTCTCAGGCTGACCTGTGTGCTGGTCTCATGATGCTCCTCCTTGGTGTCAACTTCCAGCAGAAACTTCTAGGAAGCCGTGCATCCAGCTCTCATCAAAGCTGCTGCTTCTATTTTATGACATCTATTTCTTTTGTCGGCACCTCTGTACTCATCTAATAAGTAACAGTCTGGGCTCCTGATTTAAATCTGTAACCTTTTTGTTTTAACCTTTACGTTTTACCTGTCAGGGTGTTTTACCTGTTTTCCATGTACCTCGTGCAGCATGTGCATGCCATACTCTCTAAAGCCACAAGAGTGTGTCAGGTCTCCTTAAACTTGGAGTTAGGGATGGTCTAAGTGTAAACTGTCATGTGGGTAGTTGGAACCTAATCCAGGTCCTCTAGACAAGCAGCTATCCCTCTTAACTGCTGAGTCATCTTTCCAGCCCCACAATGTTTATAATTTTGATACCTATACTGACTATAAATGTTATAAGTGCCTTCGTATGTTACTAGTTTTTTTCTAAATTGCTGAGTTATAAGTAATAAAAGATTAAGAAATGATACATTTAATTACCAATGCCAGCAGAAGTGGGGCTTTAGGAGGGGATTGTTTCCATTAAGGAAGTCATTGATGAAAAACCTTAAAGCACTAAATTTGCAAAATTGACTTAGGATTCTGATTGGGGCACAAACAAGATGAAAAACAAGGGAAAGGCAGACGAGGGTTTTTAAGTCAGTATTCTGCACAGGCTTTCCAAATGCAATTGCAATTCTTCAGCACGTCTAAACAGGTTGTTTAAATCACTTATTCCTTCGTATGGGAGAATTGCCATTGCCAAGTTCATCCTGGCTCCCTGTAGGCAAATGCATGCCCCTCCTAGCACTACAGCCCCGTGTCTGACTAGTTCAGAGAGCCTACAGGCTGCAGCTACAGGAAATTGGTTTTGTGACATCACTAGCTGAGGTATATCCACTAAAACCATTGAGGGTGATAGCCTGTTTCAAATCCATGCAAAAAAATCCAAAGCTTGCAATTGCTATTTGAAAGTGGTAACTCAACTATCTTTATAAACTTAATTCAGGAGACAGAAAACTGATTAAACTAGTCAGAGATTAGAGGATAATTTTTTTTTTCGAAGAGTATATGGAATAGTAGAGTGTATAGGTGACTTACTTGGCACTTGAGAGCAGAATCTTAAAGAGAATTCTCTGGCACTCAACAGGAGGTAGAGCCAGTGAGACAGAGACACCATATGGATAGGATCTAAGACAAGGAAAGATGAACCATGTTTCCTGAATTTCTATTTGGAAGATGTGCTGCAGCTCTGCCATGGAAGACACTCTTAAGACTTTGCCTTATTCTTCCTTCATGGAAGTCAGTTGGGATTTCCTGAAACTTAATAAATTCTTATCCTGCCACAAAGATGAGACATAAAACCTCCAAGGTTCATCTAAACCTAGGAACTGTAATTGTATTTCAACTCACTTAACTGAGTTATAGGCATTACTTATAAGACGTTAGAAGTGCACAGCTAAAAGATGACTATGATGTTTCTGACTTGGAAGTGTCAGCAATTTAATATAGGAATAGGGCAGGCTCCCTAAGAAATTCTGATACTGACCAGCAAATTTCCTGCAGGTATCCATGGTCAGCCAGGCTGTGGCAGCGTATCTGGGACTTCCAGTTAAAGATTCCAGTCCTACTGTTTGAGCCTTGCCATTTGTGAGCCTTACCCAAAACAACGTGAATTTGGCAGGATGTTGCTCCCAAGACTCCATCTGTAATGCTGTCTGCTCACTGATTAGTGATATTTTCTCTGTGTTATTTTCTTTTAGGAAAACCCCAATGACCTGCGCTTTTGGTTAGGGGATATGTACACTCCAGGCTTTGACACTTTGCTGAAAAAGAAGAAGAAACGCAACAAGCGATCAAAATTATGTCACATGGGTCTGATTTTACTCATTGTGGCCTCCATCTTGGTTACCATCGTGACTCTCAGCACCTTATTCACCTAAGGAAATTGCAAATCCTCTAAAGCTTTAAAACGCCTTCTAAATATTCACAGGAACAATCTGTCTCTGTGCATTGTGAATGTGTGTGTCCACATCACTAGCTGTGTGACTAAATGCCATTGTCCTTTGAAATGTGAGCTCTGCTTGCATTATGCTGCCCTCCCTGCTTTGTTCTGTGAAACCCCTGTGTGATACTGGTCTGGGTTTTTTTCCTTTGTGAAGCAGATATTCCAGAGCATCACAATAACAAACATCACCACATGCACCCACAACCAGTTTTATGGTAGAGAGCAGAACAGAATCAAGCACTGACAGCCTCTGTCTCAGTGCTCATCATTCACTCCCTCCTCCTCTGGGCACCAGGGAAGTTCCAGCAGGAAGGCTTCAACTGAGCCGTCAGTCCGTTTAGATCTTTTTTATCTTTCTTTATCTCCATTTGAGAAAAGGAAAATGTGGGAGGGAGATGTTGTTCATTTCTATTCCAATTTTTCAAGTTATCCTTTCTAATGACCCAAAGTTGTGTTGCTGTTTTAGCAGAAGGGAACTTGGTGTACCATTGTGGTATGTGTTGGTGGACTGATAGAAACTGACAACTGTGACCTCTAGTGGCAGTGGATACATATCCATCAGACATGGCATGTAGGGCACAGAAGACACACCAGGGTGATGCCACCCCTGAGAATTCTACTGAATGACAGTTAGAGCAGAACAAGAGATTATCAGAGGAGGGAGCAGAACAAGAAGAGATTATCAGAGGAGGGAGCTGGGTTAAGGACTCCAGAAGAAACCGAACTAGTTTTTTCCTCTGTGTCATTTCCAGTTGTCTGCCAGGTGTGGATACTTGAGAACAAGTGTGACCTCTCATCCTCCCTGGGACATTTTTCCCTAAGGCCCCCAGTGCCACTCCTAATGCTATTTAGTGTGTGAATCAAGGCTTTTCTTCTTCCCAAAGAGTGCCGTCCTCTTGTGCCCTTGGATGACGCCTTACTATTTCATGATATTGTTCATAAAGATACTTGAAGTAAAGTGTATAAAAATGAAGGTTTACTGGACAATAAATTATTGGGTACAAAGCAAAATTGGTCTTCCTGATCTTTGCACCGTCTGACTTGTTTCTCCTCTTCTTGCTGTGGGTTCCAGTTCTCCGTAGGAAGGATGGCAGGGTCCTCCTGATTCCAGGCTCAGTCCCACTGCTGATGCCCTTGTACTCTGCCTACTGTCACTGTCAAAGCTTGACTGCCCCGTGCCGCCTCTGGGGATTCGTTATGCTCAGGGGTCACCATGCATCATACACCTCTGTGCTGAACTGGGTTACTTGTGTCTGTCAAAGCCAGCGCCCAGATGAGACTTCCTAAAGATGGCTGGGTAAAGGCAGAAATGTGAAGGCAGCCCACGTGAGCTGTTAGCCCGCCCTGCCCCCACCCCAGCTTCCCCTTCCCCTTCCCATCAATCACCTAGGACTCCTCTACTCTCTAGCCTTCCTCTCCTTTTATTTATGATACCTTTGGACACTTATTTCTTCCTCATGAGTGAATTTATTACTTTCTTTTAAACCAATATCCACTGCTAGCTTTCGGTGTAACTGGATTCAAACTACAATATTGTCCCTCACAGAATTAATGGTATGTGTCCACACATAAGGGAAAGTCATAATGAGAATGTGTCCTTGTTTGCATGCAAATTTATAACTTGCATGCACTTCGAATTCCCTTGTGAAAATAGCTCCAGCAGGGGAAAAAAAGTGTAAGGTCATGGAAAGGACAGCAGTAATGGCTCTGTCCAGGCGTATGTTCAAATCTGGGCTTGCTTGAACGCTTCTGATCCAGGCCCACTTTTTTTTTTTTTTTCTTTTTAAATACAGCTTTTGGCTCACAGCACTGGTCAATAAATAAGTCTGATTGTCACCGCACTATTTTAGTCTCTTTCTTAACCCCTAAATTGAGTTAAAAGAATCTGACCCCCTAAATTTTTAACAATACTTTTTTAGAAAAAAAAGTTCCCTTTTTATTTGGAAAGCTACTCCAGGAAACTTTGCTTTCTTGTTCGTTTGCTGGTTTGTGTTTTATTCATGCATATTAAGTCGGTGTGTTGAAATCCTATAAGCTAATAATAACGTCACAGTTTCCAGGGGAAAACATTAGAATCTTCATTTACACTTTTGTAAATTTGAAATTTGTTTTTCACACAGTAACGATTTTTCCAAGCGTATTCCGGTTGCTGCCACCTAGTGGAGAATTTAATTAGTGGCCTGAGGGGAAGCGAGGCCCCAGGCTCCTCTATTTAACTAGAGTGCACTTCTGCCACCTGCAGGTCACATTTGATTATTATTTCAAATGTATATTTATTCATTTTTAACAATTTTTAAAATGGATATTACTACATACAATCTTGTTTCACATGTCAATCCCAGTTCCCCCTCCGTCCCCTCCTAGCCTGCCCCCCACCGACCCTCTATCTCATCCCCTTTCTGATCCCCCGGGAGGGTGAGGCCTTTCATGGAGAGTTTTCAAAGTCTGTCATATCATTTGGAGCAGGGCCCAGACCCTTGGCATGTGTCTAGGCTGAGAAAATATCCCTCTATGTGGGATGGGCTCCCAAAGTCCATTCGTACACTAGAGATAAATACTGATCCACTACCTGAGGCCCCATAGACTGCCCAGTCCTCCTAACTGACACCCACATTCAGGGGGTCTGATTTGATCCTATGCTGGTTTCCCAGGTATCAGTCTGGGGGACCACGAGCTCCCGCTTGTTCAGGTCAGCGGTTTCTGTGGGTTTCTTCAGCCTGGTCTTGACCCCTTTGATCATCACTCCTCCCTCTCTGAAACTGGATTCCATGAGTTAAGGCTCAGTGTTTAGCTGTCTGTGGGTGTCTGCTTCTGCTTCCATCAGCTACTAGAATAAGGCTCTAGGATAGCATATAATGTAGTCATCAATCTCATTATCAGGGAAGGGCATTTAAGGTAGCTTCTCCACTATTGCTTAGATTCTTAGTTGGGGTCATCCTTCTAGATCTCTGGTCATTTCCCTAGTGCCAGATTTCTCTTTAGACCTATAATGGCTACATTTATTATGGTATCTCTTTTCTTGATCTCCTGTATTCCCCCTCCTCACTCAATCTTCCCGCTCCCTCATGTCCTCCTCTCCCCCTCATTTTCTCCCCTTCCCTTTCTCTTAATTCCCTCTACCCTCCCTCCATGCTTGGAGGTCACATTTTTTTTTTTTAATGTCTGAACTTACACTGTGAAGGAACACCACAGGAAGAATTATACTCTGTGCTAGTAGGATATAGGGCTGAGAGCACCTGTCTTCCCTATGTAAACTAATTTTGACATTGTTCGGCCTTTCTAGAAAACACACGTGACTAGCTGTGAGTCACCTTGACAAAGACAGAGCTATAATTTCAGAATAAACTCTAGATCCCACTCACATACCTGTGAACAACAGAAGAATCCTTAGAGGACGACTCCTTCTTCACGTCCTCAAAAGCATTAAAACTTTTCTACTTGGCTTTCAGATTATCTATGGTCTTTTGAATTTGTTTATTGGTAAGTTCTGTATTGGGGAATATTTTATTTGTATATGTGACTACTGGTATTTATGCCGTGATAATGTGTGTGGGGTGTCTGTGTGTGAGTGACTACTGGTATTTATGCCATGGATATGTGTGTGGGGTGTATGTGTATAATTGATGAAGGTTTATATTTAGGGAAGGTGTATGTAGTATACACAGGTATTCATGCCGTGGGTACTCACACTCATATACATGCATGCACGCGGAGTCCACAGCAGACTTCAGGCATCCTTCTCTGTGACCACAAGCCATAGTCTCTCACTGAACCTGCAGCCAGCAAACTCCAGTGATTTGTCTGTCCCCAGCCTCCTCACCACTGGTTTTGCAGACAAGGTGAATTGAGGTTCAGGGAGTTGGAACTCAATTGCTTGTGTTTGCACAGTAAACACACTCACTGAGCCATCTCCTCTGTCTAAATATAGTTTTTGTAATTCTTGTTCTTTCTGAACCGTAGTTTGTTACCAGTTTTCAAATATTCACCTCATTTTACTGAATGCGTATAATTTTGTCATATGTAAGAAACATTTTTTTTAAAACTATAGCTAGACAGAGCCATTAAGTCTCAAACCCTCTGAATTCTTACATCCACATCCATGGTTTTGTAAAGACAGGAGATTCTGTTTCTTTCCAGGCACTTAGTCCAGACTTCGGCCTGGCTTCAGATGAGAATGTTAAGCAAGGGGGAAGGCTTTCAGAGACTGAAATGGTGTTCTGCCAGAGTGGCTGCTCTTTTCTTATTTTAAGGATGTGGTGACTCATGTACTTCGTCAAATTTCTCTCTGTGCAAATGGCTGGAAAAAGTCATGGAGGGGGGGAAAGCTGGCTCCCTCTTACCCAAAGTGGGTGTGGGCCTTTCCTGGTGAGCATTAGGCGGTCAGTACCATCCTGGCCCCATGTTTCACTGTTTTAATTCCTGACTCAACTATGCTGGACCCTAACTGCTAGATTTTCCTCTCCGTGTGTGTGTGTGTGTGTGTGTGTGTGTGTGTGTGTGTGTGTGTGTGTGTGCTTGAATATAAGGGCACTTGTGCTGGGGGAGGGGGAGGGTTCTCTGTAGTCCTGGCTGCCCTGGAACTCATTGTGTAGACCAAACTAGGCTGGGTTTGAACTCACAGAGATCTTCCTGCCTCTACCTCCTGAGTGCTGGGAGTAGAGGTGTGCATCAATGAGCCTGGTCCTTTCCCTCCATTTTCCACTTACTGACAAGATGCAGAATCTGCAGACTTATATGGGTACATAGAAAATTACAGACTTATTTTTCAAGACAGGGTTTCTCTTTGTAGCTTTGTAGACCATGCCAGCCTCAAACTCACAGAGATCTATCTGCCTGCCTCTGGCTCCTGAGTGCTGGGATTACAGGCATGTGCCACTATCACCCAGCTTGATAATTACAGGTTTGTGCTCATAAAAATGCACATATCCATATATAGAACCCAAACACAGGGCTGGAGACATGACTTCATGGCATAATACACTTGGAAGAAAGGAAGAAAAAGAGAGAAAGAAATGAATAAGTCTGCTGTTTAAAATGAAGTAAAACAAAGTATACTTTTAAGTAAAGGATGATAAAGTGTGTTTTTAAAATGAAGACAACATTATTATTTAAATATAAAATATTCCTCACAATAAATAATGCACTAAGCTCCTTTCTCCAGCAGGTGAAATTTTCATGGCATCTTCCTACACTCCCAGCTGGAGGAAGGACACTGAGGGTACATCTTTGAGGGGGTAACCTGTCTTCTACAATTCTCCGTGGGGTATGTCATTGAATATGAAC